AAATGGATATAGAAATAAAGAAGTGAGAATAATATAATAAGAAAGAAATGAATATAAAAGTAAGGTGAAGAAGTACAAAAGTAAGGAATAGAATTTATGAAAGTGGAGAAGAAATGTTGAAAGAGATAAATAAGAAAGTGAAGAATGAAAGATAAAGAAATAACGAAATCAAGAAGAAATAAATATAAAAATTGAAGAAGGTTGGAAATGAATATGAGGAATGTTTCCAAGAGACCAGTATAGGAGACCGGCTCGAGGAAGAATGAGCGCTGTGAGTCCCGGGCTCTGCCTCGAGCGCTCCCCCCACCTTCCGCCTGCCTTCGCTCGTCGAGTCGTGCGTGACGAGTTGCGCGCGCACAATTTTGGGCAACTTCCAGTACTTCTAAATATGCTTGGCTAGAATTTCCGATTTCTAAGTGTTAATATTTTACTTTAATTGTTTAATTAATTATTTTAATGCTCCAAACACCTAATTTATTAATATTTCAATTTGAACGTAATTTATTTTCAATATTCTACAATTTCAATTCAAATTTTATCTATTCCGTATATTCTGCGAGATTTTTATTTAACCTCTATTTTATAGTTTGAATAAATTTTGAAAGTAAATCAAGATCCAATAATATTTAATAAAAATTGAGGTGCTATGCGGTTGCCAATTTGGCACTTTCTTAAAAATGTCTTAAATATGTTTCAACAATAGGCTTTTTCAATATTTCTTAAGGAGTTCTATAGTTCCCGTTCTTGTTGAAAGTGTTGCTTTGGGATCCAGCGGTGAGTAGCGGAGAACCTCTGCCTGCCAAGCTATATCTTCGTGTTCACGTTTAGCTTGGCTACGACGGGATTCACATTGTCGACGGAGGCGATGATCACAAAATCCTATTCCCGAACTCGTCGTTACGATTTAACGCCATGATTTTGGTATCGCTTAAAACCGTAGCATAGTGCATCTCTCTACTCATCTCTGCTAAATGAGATCTCGCAAAATGCACTTGGATACTGTTAAAATCTCCTTTATCGACATGACTATTACGGCTGGTTAAGGATAAGTAGACTAACAGTGGAACCCACGGTAGATCGAGTTACCGATTGAAATGGCCAAAGTTACGGGCGTATCGTAAGATGGTGCCTGTAAAAAGAAAAAATATTGGAGAAATGTATATATGTCAGTAATGCAGAAGCGTGCGTTCGTCAGACGCCGTGTCGACGTTGAAATTTAAGTTGGACCATGAAAATCGACTCTATTGACCATCTATTTACCCATCTCTGATATTATTTTGAAATACACAATTTATGAGTGTAAACGGAGTAATTAATGCTTCAACTCATATGTTCCAACATTTTGTTATGATGTGGTCCATCGGTATATCAGATTCGCGTAACAGAGAAAGTATGGGAATGCGTGATTTATTTATCTGCGGTCAATGGGGTCATAATTAATGCGTCCTCTACAGTTGGTTACTATAGAATACCGGTAGAGGGTACTGAATGCCACGTTATATCGGAAGACTGGAAGGGTGATTCGTTTGACATATACTTAATCAGGTTTCACGCCTATTTTCCACTGTGGAAATAAAGTCAACTGGAGTTAAGTTTTCATTACATACTTGCAGGATGAAACGTGGAGCATTATTAGTTTTGGAAGGATGCGATCGAGCTGGAAAATCTACACAAGTTAAAAAACTTGTAGGGGCTTTAAATGATTATGGAATTCCTACCGAAGCCAGAGTCTTCCCAAGTAAGTGGTTAGATTGAATGATATTTGTTGAAATTGATATTTATGATTGTGTACTGATTTGTGCAGATAGAAAAACAGAAATAGGACAAATGATTTCACGTGTTTTAACGAATAAAATGGAACTTCCACTAGAAGCAGCGTATCTATTGTTTTCTGCAAATCGATGGGAATGTAGTAAAGATATTATAGATAGTCTGGAAGCTGGTATAACACTTGTAGTTGACAGGTGTGTAGTTGATATTTAAGAACATCGCATCTCCTTCGGTCTGTGTTTAATAAGGATTATTTGAAAATTAAGGTATGCTGCATCGGGTGCAGCATATGCTGCTGCAACCACTGACTTGGATATTTCTGTGTGTAAAACATGTGACACTGGTCTCCCACAACCCGATGCTGTCTTTTTACTTGAGTTAAGCTCAGAAACGCAAGTTAAAAGAAGCAAGTTTGGAGAAGAAAAATTTGAACGTGAGCAAATACAGAAGAGGGTTGCTCAAAATTTTAAGGAACTTAAAGATGACTCATGGACAATAATAGATGCAAATGGTGACATTGAAACAATACATAAAACTCTATTAAAAGAGGCACTGAAAATTGTTTCTGCGGTTAATAACAATCCAATAAAACAGTTGTACTTAAAATAAGTCTGATGATACCTAATTTGTTTTAAACAGTGTTTCTGTACATTACTAAGTTTAGGAAGTGAATTGAATCGGCATTTTGTGAATGATTTTGTTATAAAAATATAAACATGCAATGAAGCATATTACTTTAAGCGTGCGTAAATTTATAATGTCATTTACAGCTGGTGCGTTTTATAAAATTAATGACTTCATACAAAGGCACAATGAGTAATAAACCGAGCCTGTTCTATTCATAATTATGATTAAATTTTATAATACGTTGGCTTACCGAAAATTCGTTCATACAGGTCTCTCGTTTTGTTCGTTCGCAATGGATGATATCAGCCTCCAGCATTTCTTAAAGGTTTAGAAAATAACCTGTTTAACTTCATCCATTGTTTTTCTCTTTTTTCTCTCATTAAATTACGCCAAGGTACAATAATTAGCCAACTTTGTTTCCTATTCTGTTAGCTTTATGTAATTTAACCCTTTAATTTAGCCGCATTCCTTATAAATGTACACGCGTAAAACTAATTAAAACAGTGCGAAAAGTTACCGAAAACTTTTATACATGTTTCATTAATTCCACAACCGAATTCTAGCACGCATTATTCAACCAAACAGGATATGCACACATTATTGAAACTCTTTTATATCGCACATGAGATAAGACATTTTCAAAAAAAGTTGTCACTTTTCAAAATACCCCGCGACTGAATCAGATTGGAGTAGCACAAATGCCTAAGTTTCCGGTGAATCCAAAACCTATATCGATCCAGAAGTACGAGAACAGAACCCATAAATATCTTCTATTTCCCTGCCACCAAAAGAGAAGACGCGAATTCATACCAAGGACAGTGTGCAAGTATCGTAAAGATAATTTTTCATAAGAACAGCAATCGATTCTCATAAATAATACAAGCTACGTATCGAAGGCGGTAAATACCGTTAAAATTGGAAAACGATAATCGTATGTACTTTCCTAAAACTACCTACGTACCGTAAATATATGTTTTTTCATGCGTATACAGCTTAACGTTTATAGTTTTCGGATTTTCCAATATGCTCACGTCTACGTACGCGTAGTTGGAATTCAAGTTTGACCGTTACCAGAGTGGCCCTTTTTTACTCCCTTACCTTCAGTCAATCCTTGACACTTTAATTAAAGTTGTGTCCTTTAATCAGAACTGAACTTTATTAAATTTCAGATAAATCCTCCGAATGTCTATCTGCCACATTTCTTTTATCGAATTCTTTACGATCCATCTTCTCTTGTTGTCATCGATCTGACTGCGATGAATGCATTAGATAATTTCAATGGTCACCAATTGAACCAACCTAAAGGGTTGTATATGTCATTCGCATAATTCTACTCCTGTCAACCACCGGCCTCATTGGCATATGACAAATTGCTTGCTATCATACCTATACATTCCTATTCTAAACTTCCCCCAGATTATACATTGTGATAGTCAATTGTGCATTCGCCATTGTTCTAGACGCGGTGCATTATCAATTCGCGTAAACATACCAATCCATTCGAAACAGATACTACGTAGCTCATAGTGAAAAATCCTTCATCTTGTATCGACAAATTATTTTTTTAATAACATTTGGAAAGATTTACTGAAACAAGGAGCTTTCTTATCAGCATTCGTTACGTGTTTGATTAGGCCAATGAATTCTGACACTAATGAATAATATTGATAATACGTTATCGTCGAATATAATGTGTTTATTACAAACAGTATATATTAACTGGACCGTGATATATTGGCGATATATCATATATGAAATCTACTGGACCTCGAGGTATATTGGACGTATTAATATTTTACTGGAATATTATATAATATATGTATATATATCGAAACACAACCCCAACATTTTCTAGCAGCTTGGAATAAACTCTTGTTTTTCTCGATATTACGTTCATGAATAATTAATAAAATCATAACACGCAGAATAATGCATATAAGGCTGAATACATATATGTATATCGATCCCTCAGGCAAAGGTCAAAGAATCAAAGTTGATCAAAAGACTGTATATTGTATATGAAGTAATTTGACATCAAGACAGATTTTGAATATACTGTCAATTTTTGTTTACCCATTGTCATTACTTCTTTTTTGAATACTAATACAGAATAGTAAGTTGTGTGGAATTATTGAAAAATATCTCACGTGGTATCGATACGTATATTTTTGCTGTGACGATACAACCATAAATAATTTCCATCCCGCACGTTAAAGTGCATTTCGAACAAGAGCCACTATCTGTAAATCATACAGCATCACTTGCACATACATTTCTACAGGATTACCAGGTATGTACATTGCTTCTATTCTATATGGTCCATGCTGCGGTATCCAATTCGCATTACTCAAGACTAGACTAGATCAGCACAGCATCCTTGGGTTGCATAACACCCAAGGTGTTTATGTACGACCTACTTTAAGCTTTAGAATAAATAAAGATAACGATCTCTCTCTCTCTCTCTCTCGAGAAATTTTAATCGAATGATGAAAGTATTTTTATTATAAAAAAAATGTAAAATAATTATTTTCAATTCTATGTACAGTCAAGATATTTTGAAAATAATTATTCGATCAGGGACTGTTCTTGATAGGTTAATTTTGGAGATTGAGAATCTTTTTTTCTCTTCGTTAATCTTTCGAAGAATCCGATTGACTCCTGGAACTGTCGCTTATCGTGAGGATATACCTTCTTCCCTCAGGATCCATATTAGGACTCGTTTTCGTGGGTCCAGGACTAGTCGACTGCTTAACGGTGCACTCTATCACGTTTACCTCGTCCATTATGCCTAAGCTTGGGTTAGGTACAGTGTCCAGCTTGATCGGGGGAAAGGCAAAGGTTCTTTCGCAGAATCGGGAGCAGCTGTCGTCCGTTTTCGCTCGCTTATCGATAGGTCCTTCCACGTCGGTAGCTTCATCCTCCTGGCACGGTCCAATTTGCTTTCTTTTCGAAGATGAACGATCTTCACTGATTTTAGGACATTCGGCACCGTGCGGAATGTCCTTAGAATTGTTACTGATAAAATCGATTTCCTCTCCTCGTATATCGTTAATCTTGACATCCTCAGGAGTCACTTGGAGATCTACTGGATTGCCGGATAATCCTGGAACGATTTCACAAGAATTATTGAGTTTATGAAAGTGAGTGTTTTCCAAAAAATTTGATAAATTTGGTAAATTCATGCGTGATGGATCCTCAAAAGCATTTTGAGTTTTATTTGATGACTGTATTGAGATGATTGTTGGATTTTTGTTTGTGGAATTTGTATCTTTTTCTTCTTCCCTTTCCTTCTCCTTCATGTCACTGCAATTTTCCATGTCAGATAAACTATCCTCGCTGGTGGATATGCTAAGGGTGTTTAGATCGTTACAATCTTTATCTAAATTGCTATCAGCATTATCTTCAACGACAGACTTGTCCTCCGAGTAATCTAAATCTATCGTTTCTTCATAACTGGTTATTGGAACGTGGCTGCATCCACTTCTGGGAGTGGTAAACAATTCAACGGAATCATCCGAAAGCGAATCATCAAAAGTGACAAATTTCTTGAACGAAATACTCAAGTTCAGCTTATTCCATTCCTCGTAATCAATATTTAAGCGACAGTCATCCGATCTGAACGAAGTTCTTTGAAAACTGGACACTATTAAATCCTTGGGAACGCTCTTCCACGCATGCGCAATATTTTCAAGTACATCGTCGACACTTAAATTCATCAAGTCATTATTCTCAAGATGACGAACATAATTTCTTCTGTAGATCATCTTGACGTAATGAAATATGTCTCTTCTCAATGGACGTAAATTCGTGGGAAAGTCCCTCGGAAAGAATATCAAGTTGACGTTGCTCAACTGAAGATCCTTCAAAATGTGTATCCTGCTTCTCTGCATCAGCAAAAGGATCTTCCGTTTGGTCAGGATCATTCTGTCATTCAGCTGTGACAACCAATCGCTAAAAGATTCCATGCTTATCGTCGAGCCTTCGTCGTAACGGTAACGATAATCTTCCTTTATTATCGAGCTCTTCCATCCACCGGAAATCAATAGTGCCATCTTTTCCGTTCCGGATGAATTGCAGCACATGAGCACGGCCATCTTGTCCTTCTTATTTAGGTCCATGACAGCATCGCCACGAGCAGGAAGCATCCCAGGGGATACATTGACGTACATGATCATCTCGTCAACGTGAAAAAGATCCTTGTATCTATATTGGGTTATCAATGATCTCAATAGGTCCACCCATTTCCTGTAATCCGTGAAGGTGGGTCCACAGCAGTTTGTCAGAGTCGCGGAGAAGCCATATTTCTTTAAGAAAACAGTCAGCCAAATATTGGAGCACTTGAAATCTGAAAACAAAATTTTTACATTAATTTAACCTTAACCTTGTGCGATTTCTTAGCAGGATTTTTTTGAGATCTCTAGAACCTGCTTTTTTCAAATTCATAACCCACCCGTCATGCCTCAGCAATCTGTACCAGTTTATCGGAAGATGCTGTACTTACTCTTCACTCCAAAATGATCAGCCAGATCAATTGCTCTCTGTCTAAGAAGATCCCGATCGAGAGGACTGTTGGTCGCGTGTTTTTCGCAAATCCATTGAAGAAGGGAATCCTTGATGCGATTGATATTTGCGCAATAGCTTCGTCTGTTCATTATTTTCTTGCTAGACATATTTAAATATTTATATAATTAAAAAAAATGTATTCATGTCAAAAGTAAATCAATTACGCGAGAATTCACGCAAGAGTCATTCGTCTTTTTTTTTTTTAAACGAAACAGTGGAAATTGGAAAATTTTGTTTTAATCTTACAAAATCTTCCGGATCCCGGATAGCCGTCCAGATGTTCATTAAGGTGATGTTATTTTCTTGGTCCTTCGGTCTCTCAAGATGCCATGGCACGTAACGAATTTTCCCCGGAGTTCATTCGAGTGTCTGCCGGTATGACGCAGTCACGTTATTTTCTCTAATTTTACTGAAATGAGCACGCGTCCTGTTGGCGTCCCCGTCGCGACGCCTGACGTCTCCATAAAGTTCCAGCGCGCCTCGACGTATCCCGGACACTCCTCATATTAGTTAAGGTTGTCTTATTATTTTTAACGAGGTTAGAAATTGTTATAGAGGATATCCTCGTTTGCTTAAAATGTATTGCTTGAAAATTTGCCAGTACTATTTTTCGAATTTTTATTTTTTTACATGGATTCCAAAAATAATGATTTCCCGAGACAGGAAGATTGTTATCGTGAAAATATATGACCATAGGATACAGAGTACGAAAAAATGTGAAATCTACAAGTATTTGTATAAGTTAATTCGATAGCGATCTATAAGCTTCGTAGATCCATGATCCTGAATCAAGGAAACCTTTCGCGAAGGATCAAAGTTTAGGAAGGGATCAGGGTTAATGATGGGATTAAAGAAAAATTAAGATCCATCATTAGGAAAAGATCAATCCTTGTTCCTGTTACGTCCGAACCAGAATTTACCTAGTCTGGTGCCTTTTACCGAATCGTGATGTACCATTGAGTTTCCCTGTTCTGAGTAAATTTTTAGCGCATTTTACTTGAGATCATGCTATGTCTTCAATTACCATGAGAAGAATGAATGAGGTTGGTTATGAGATGAAATTGATTCTGAATAAACCAAAACGAATGAATACCGCCAGCAAATAAATAATTGAAAATCTAGGATATTATAGCATCTACTGTGATTTAACGAAATTAAGGAATTTCCTTTATCAAATATAATAATTATAAGCTGCTCACCGTAAATTCAATGATTGTGGGACGTCAAAGGTTGTTGTACGTACGGTGATAAGAATGACAAGAGATTAGAGTTAAAATAGAAAAAAAAAAAAATACGAAAAACGAATTGAACAAGCAAACAAAGACAATTTATCATAAAGCGCGAAAACGAGCTTTTTGGGCGAAAATTAATAAAGAAAACTCACGTATATTTCACCCTTTCATAATGGCATGGCAGCACCCTTAGTATTTCAAAAAAAAATTCCCCAAGTGCCAAAGTGCATCCGACATACTTGTACGGTAAATACGAATGCCCGCACGTACAGCAGAGGGTAGTTGCAACCCACTTCATTTATTTTTACCACAAAAGCGTGTCTGGCCAAATGAAATTTCGATCTAGCACCCTGGCTGAGCTAATATGTATAAGAGATAAAAAGAAAGAAAAAATAAATTGTTTGTCCACGTAACAGCGCATCCCCAAGGCAGACTGTACTATAGATGAAAATTCAGTCCATCGATCCATACAGTGTAAACTAAGTAAACATAGAAATACATAGTTATCCTTACAAAACCATTATGCTGTTTACCGATTGTGTACGTCAGCGTCTGGCGTGCGAAGTGAAAATAGCCACTTGGCAATACAAGTAAGCATCCGCTTGTTATATCGGGTGTATCAATAATTCATGCATCGTTAACGTGGCACAATTGTCAACTGCACGCGTAGGCGCCGTTCTGTCCTGACTACCCCAGTTATTAATTTCTTTTAGTAGTATCTCAGCGCATGTCTATTTCTTTTTTATCATATTCCATAGCCACTTCATACCTGACTTCATATCCAAGTGCATGATGGTGAAGGTAGCTGCAAAAATATTGAAATATCCGTTCATTCGGATTTGACGATTTTTCGAAATCTTCTTGCAAAAGGTTTCCTTCTCGAATTACACAGTAGACAGGCATACAACAACATACAACAGTGAAGTTTTGAAGAACCCTTGGCAGTCATATTGAATTTTGTGATCGAAACGTGAAAAATATCTAGCGAGGTTGGTGAAATATTTATTTAGGATAAAAACTTATATCAGCATGTATACTTATATACTGCTTGAAGCCTTTTTGTTTTTCTTTCATTCACGCTCAAAGTTTTTTCTATTGTATCGTCGCGATATTGTGCTATTAATTCTCCCTTCGATGCTTCTCACGAGAATTTTCACGGGAAATCGAGTATTACGTTTTCTCGTTATATTCTCGTTACCATTAACTACGTAAACTGCGGGATAATGGAAAAAGTAGGGCGGCCATCTCTTTTATGTCGCATACGTCACGCTGAGCCGATATAATTATGTACCATAATTTACAACGACGTTATTATTTCCACCACTAACTAATTATCAATCAACTAATTATCAATCGATTACGTCGTTTTAAAGAAAAATAACGAATAACAATTAATTCATTTATGTATTAATCGGACGTACGAATGATTAACGTTAATTACTTAATTTCTGTTTAAACATTGTAATTTTACATATAAAGTAATCCATCTTATGTAACAACAATTAATCAACGTTAAATCCACGTATTATTCGTACTCAGGGAAAATTGATAGCGCAAATATATACAGTGCATACAAACTAACCTTTAATTGAACAACCATGCGCAATCACTATTCTCATATCGATTCTTGTACATCAGGAGCAATATCGACTATGGACTTTCGACGTGATATCTTCGACGTGGAAACCTCCTCTGGGAAGATCCTAACGATTCCAGCAGTAAGAAAATGTCAGATGAGAAAAATTAAAGGCTGCGATTCCGCACTGTACTCAGCTGTTCGGCCCGTTGTATACATAGTTCGTGTGTTCGGTCTAGCGCCGTATGAGTTCGTGGAGGATCGGCTAACTCCGTCAACGGTCTACCTGATATGGTCTTTGTTCAACTTTATTTTTTACACATGGGTTTTAATTGTATTTATAAATAGATTTCAAGGAGACGAGAGTCTGAAGCCTCTTTTGGGTTACACAGAATTCGTTAAGGTAAAAGAGGATTTTGTCAAATATCTCTAAATATTTTTTTAGATGTTATATGTCAATTTTTCTTATGATTTTACTTTTTCAAATCTTAACAGGTTATAATTAATTATGCCGTGGCTATGTTGGATATGTTATTCGCTGCAGTCGCGAGACAAGAATTTACGACTGTCTGGAACAGTATTCAAAATTATGACGAGACTGTTCGCTCGTTAGGGTTTCCTCGTAACGAGAAAAAAACGACCCTATTCGTCTGGGTGATGTTGTTATGGAGCACTGTTGTATGGACTCTTGTCAGTCAAATGGGCCAGTATTCATTATGCGAAGATTGGCTGCAGAACATTACGTATATGCTTATGTATGTTGGCACCTCTGCTGCAGTTGTTAAATTCTCAGGGATGGTACTATTGGTTGGACAGCGATTCGATCATTTGAATAATGTCGCGCGCTCGAACGATCCTGGAAATTTCACGACGTTGGTCAAAAGACGAACTAGTTCGAGAATAGATGTAAGAGTGAGTGTTGTGAATATATGACTAATTATATGATTAGTATTTTTATGGGTAATTAATATTAACAGTTTCTTTATTTTTTAGACGATTCAAAGACTTCATAATGATTTAATGAACGTCAGCGAAAGTCTATCTTCTCAATTCTCATGGTCGCTTCTTCTGTGGTTGGCAAACCTGTCTTCACACATTGTGATCAATCTTTTCTTTATAATGAATTGGATAATTAATAATAGGAAATACATGCATTGGTCCAATATGTGTCTGCTGAGTGCGTGGACGGTTGCTTATATTTCGCAAATTTTTCTTTTGAGTTTGGCCTGTGATATTGCAATTAGAGGGGTGAGTTTTTTTATTATTGTATGTCCTTTTGTTGCGTGAAATTTGGACTTACTCCGCATTTAAGTTCAGTATTTTTTTGTCGTTTCATAATTTTTTCCTCCTCTTATCACTGTTATCACGTTGTCTCCTACTGGTTCGTTTTGGGATCCACTTTTATTCGATAAGTCACACCTCGTGAAATATCCTGGGTGTAATTTATGAAAACAGAAAGAACACGAAGGAGATTGGATCGCGGCACCGATCCAACCGGAAGAAATAACTTTTTCCGAGTTCCGGGTTAAGATAAGGATGAAAAATAGGAAGGATGGAGGAAACGTGTAATGAGGAAAAGAAAAATTATATAAAATGATAAATTCCGGACTTGTTTTCGTAAAAGATCAAATTAGCATTTTTCTTTGGCTTTCTAAACATTCATTTGCTCTGTTACAATTTTTCGTACGTTGCCTTTCTTCATTTTATTTTAGGCTACTGACACAGGATCGATTCTTATGAACTGGTGGCGCGGACTGGACGCCAGGCATTACGTAAGTCAAAAACAAATTTTGTATACATATATATATTTGTTCAACCCTTACATTTCATCTATTACTTATTTATTTTCTTCATTTATTTAATTATCGCAGAGCATCGAGTCTACGTTACACTTGGTAAACCGGAAACTCGTTTTCTCAGCAGCCGGATGTTTTGGCGTGAATCTACGTCTGCTTCGGTCGGTGAGTATCGACTACACCTTGTATTTATATTGAATTATTCTGCCAGCTATCAACCACATTTGGTTAGGGGTGGAAAGCCGTCAATTTAATGGTCGATCAACTAGGGGTTAATTGCTTATTCAATTCAACGAATGAAAGGAATTGATGAAAATGTCTTATTTTCCCAATTTCTAATTCAATTGAAAATCAAACAAGAAGGGGTTGTTTCTTTAAAATTTTTATACCTGGTTTATACGTCCAAAAAATTCGAGTCATTTTCTAATTCTCTCCTCCATTTTACCTGTCAAAATTCCACTTCTTACCGACTTCTCAATTTTCTTTTTCCATTTACAGATTGCAGCCTTCCTGACAACATATCTGGTGATTTTACTACAGTATCCCGATTAAGAATAATAACTTCAACAGCATGAAAAAAAAAAGTTATCCGTTCTCACCTGTCCACTGCTTATTCCGTATTAAATTAAGAAAAACCGAAAAAAAAGAGATAACAGTAACAACCGCGATACTTTACTTAGCATTTTTTTCCAATATTAAAATTCATCCCCTAGGTAAGACACTTCCCCCCAAGGAGACATTAATCACATAGTATTAAAAGATACCCTATTTTCTTATCTCGTGGTGTTATCTCAACCCCAATTTAAAGCCAGTTAAAAAAACCTCGTTCAAAATTCAGCCCTTAGTCTGTACGAAAAGAAAGATTATACCCTTACGTGGTAAGGTATTCAAAAAGTTTTTCAATGACGATCAAAAGGGATGCTGCCATGAATCCTAGAAAATTTAAATTCAATCAAGTTACTTTCATCAATCAGTGAGCAGCAATTTTCATTTTCATCATGAGCGATCAAACAAGTGAAGCCAATCGATCCTTTTCAAAAGATCCTCTTCACCAGATTACATTCATTCAGACGCTGGACCATTTCAGTTTCAACCCCTTTCCTTCCTGTCGTTCTTTAGTTTTCCAATTTAGCCCCAGCAATCGAGATCTAGAGTTCGGATCGATTTTAAGCCTCCTAAAAAAAAATCCGTCATGTAATTTTGTACCGATTGTCTACCCAGTGTCAAAAGAAAAGGCTACTTTATTTCAAAGCTAGACTTTACAATGGCTTCCATATTGACTTGGCCCATTATATTTTCTTTTCATCCCTTACGACCGGGGAAATTACTTTTACCATCAAACAACCCCCTCTCGATAAATCCCTCTGTGACCGTTACTCCCTTACTACCCCTTTATTAAATATTAAAAAATGGTTCAATTTCATCACACCCCTACGTATATGTAACGCACCCTTATATGTGTATAATAATCCTAGGCAGTTTCTTATAAAATCATATTACCACACATGGTGTCACACGTGGATGCTGGGAGTGGATACTTGGAGTGGATATCCTATCGGAGATTTATCCTTCCTCCCTTAACCTTTGACACGCGGTTGTAATTCCGTAATGGGAAAAACGACGAGCTTAGGTTAATGGATATAATTATAGGAAACACGTGAAAAATCTATTAGATAACAATCAGGTAACTAACGGGTGTGACTAGAATTTTTTTTCAGATTAACAAAAGAAAGCATTTCGATCCTCATCAATTACGTGACGGAGAAAGGGGAGGATACTTGTGGAAAAAATTAAGGAATGATTTTTTATTCTTGGTTGTAATTGTTATGGGTTCCAATTTTGCTTCGGAATTTTCAGATACCACTCCCTGTTTTTTTTTCTTCGTTCGATGCACGTCAATAAACGAGTCGATGCAATGTCTCTCTGGCTGACGTTTCCTAATTGATTGGTATTAACTGCCACCCTGTATATAATCTCCCACGGGTAATTGGACTTTATTGCCCTTACGTGACTGTTGCCATTTTTTTTTTATATTCCCTACCAAATGTCGCCTAATCCTCGAGGGCCATGTTACTTGGTATAAAACGGTTGGGAAAAATGTCTGTCGATTCGACGACTTATGGAAAAACGTATAAATATTCAAAATGGATCTTCGTTCTGGATAATATTTTTATCATGGAACGAATTTTATATTATACTTTGTATCGTGTTAATTTATCGATTGGAGTTAGGATTGGATTATTTGATATTTTGTAAATTTATCGTTTTCAGGGAAAGCTTCGTAGTTAAGGCTTTTGATATGGTTAATATGTTTAATGTTGTTGAAATTGTTCGCTGATTTTATCGCATTCATCTTTCATCTTTCGCATCATCTTTCATCTCATGCCGGCTTATCTATTTCATGACTTTATATGGTGTATCATTTTTGTGTGTATTGTATTTTATCAAGTTCGGCTCGAATATATATATATATATATATATATATATATATATGTGTGTGTGTGTGTATAGGAATTCGCAACCCTTCGCACAGCATCAATTTTATCTAAATTGGCCAAAGACAATAGATACTATTGTCATTGAGAGTACATTCGGCGGAAATTACATGGGCTTGGTTTTGGGGGATGAAATAGGCCATTTTTCTGTTATTAGCCCCGTTGTCAGTCATACCACTTTTTTTTTTGTATTGTCAAATATCCCTATGTACCGTACCACCCTTGTTCTAACTACCCTGCTACACATTAAGAGAACACGCGCGATTGTGCAGAGGGTGAATAATAAAAAGAGATGGGAAAATACGAAGGGATGATAAAAAATATCGTCTCCAGAAACGGGAAGCTGTGTCGATAAAGTGAATAAAAAAATTGCTTACCGTATATTGGTAATTCGAGGAACGAAATGTTTTTTTGGAAAAGGTCGCTAAGAATCCTCGTCGGAATTATCGATTGGTTCGTTGAAGATAATTTTTCTCTCATCTTAATCGCCGATGGGAAAAATTAGCAATTTTTTTCTCCCCTCGGCAATTTGTCTCCTTGGTAATTAATCCATGTTCTTCGATAAGGATGTCTTAGGTGTATATTTTATCGCATCAACCCTTTTGTACCTTATCCTTCTTTTTTGTCGGAAATGACCGAGCAGAATTTGTACAATCGGAAGGGTTTTTAGGGGAAACTTTTTTTTACAGTGATTCTCGATGGAATGAGGGATGTGAACTGATAATGAGGGAAACTTTTTTGGGGGATCTTTTTCACCCTTATTTGTCTTCACTGTGGCCTTGCAAGGAGGATAAACTGTGTAATTCATTATTTAATAGTTAATGAATCTTTATTTAATTTGAAAATTGTAATGTACAAGGATATTTTTATAATTAATGCATTATACTAATATAATAATTTATTGTGATTTTAATTAACGTTATCAACTCCTGTATCAATGTTGGAGTGACGTAACGTTTTCGAAATGGCTTCTCGGAGTACATGTTCAATACTTTAATGTCAAAGTAGACAAGACTCTTGAGTGACTTTTAATTAAAAGTGTCTTTTTTTTATATTCCATCGATAAAGATCGATAATGTAAATCGAGTCCTTGCGAGGAATTTGAAAAAAATGTCAAATATAACGGAGATCTAGTCTCCCGTTAAGTGACGATTGTGTCAATAACATAGACGCAAAGTTGAATTAAGGTAATTGTTAATGTAATTAAAAAAAAATTAATTAAGTAGTTCAGTTTCGGCGGATTGCGTAATTTGCATAATTGACTATATGGAATATTCATAGATATATCAGACAATTATAAAATTTTAGTCACTTGAGATTCAGTCTGGTTCAAGTACATGTTTGCCTTATGTTATATGAGTGAATAGTAAATTCGACCATTTTCAATATTACAGTCAATCGAGTGAGACAAATATTTTTCATGATAAAAAAAGACGCTACTCGATGATAAGACTGTTTAACGCGAACTATTAGCTCAGACTTTTAAAGCAAGAGTCGCCACTTTCGAGGACCCTACAAAAAGTTGAATAATATGAAACTTTCAAATGGCCTATTTACCCGATAAAATAATTATGTGAATGAATTTGTACTAGTCATTTTCACATATAATATTCAGAAGTGACTAGACCCAATGGCTCGAAATTAAATAAATTTAAAAAAGAAACGTAATGGTAAGACAGGTCCACATACCCGGAATACAAATAAAAATTTCTACACGATTGATGAATTTTTGCTGAGCGCGAAATTTTGTAGCTTTTTTTTCAGAATTCTAAATCGCAAGAAAAATCATCTCAGACGATTCTACAGGATTCTCGAGATTGACGATTACGAAAAAAAAGAGTCAAAATAAAAAAAAGTTAGCAAAATATTTGTACAAACAATAATATGGAATATTATTACAAAAAAAAAAGCTTCGATTAAATAATTCAAATCAAATCATTAAACTAGGCCTGTAGGCAGGTCTCTCGAGACACCTGGACTCTATGTCCATGCACGATCTAATGATTTCACGACTTACGTTTACTTTTCGATTACGCGGTTTCACAGTGGCGTAAGAACGTTCACCAGGGTTACCATAGAATCCTGATGCAAGATCAGAATCGAAAAAGACATTTCTTCTTTGCAAGGACAACGACTCCTCGTAGACGTTGGACCTGGGTCTCTCTGCCATGGGTATAGGAACGTCATAGATAGGTTCTAATTTTGACAACCTCAGAGCATCGGGAAGACCTGGTTCGGACCGCGACAAGCAATACCTCCTAGGTACGTCGTAGACGACTTCTGACGACTTCAAGGCGCCTTTAACTTTTTTACGATACTCCACAGCCAGAATATCCTGTCCAGGATCCGTGACCTCTTCAGGATCATCCTTAGTCAAGGGTACGATCGGTCTTTTCGAAGTGTCAAAATTCGAAAGATCCCCAGCTACGAAGCTCATCTTCTTCGAACAGGTCAGACCCCTGCGACCTAACGATTTCGTGAACTTGCTCGGATTCCCAGGATAGGATGGACCCAGGTCGTCGGCTAACTTAGAACGTGGAACTTCGTCAAATAATAATTTACCAGAGTCACAGCTGTTCCTGTAGGAGGTATTTTTCGGTTTTCCATCCTTTTCAGAGCCAAAAGTGCTGAAGGTGCTGCGCTTCGACGATTCCACGTAGCTGTTCTCCTGGTGGAGCAAGGATTCGGTGATGGACTGCAGCGACGAAGACGAGGACGATGATTTCTCATATCCGGAATCCTGGATGTCACGTGGTTCGTCGAAGGTTAAATTTTGCTGAGACGAAAAGACGACCTGGTGATTAAAGGAGTCTGACTTTTTTTTGCCGGTCAGAATCGACAGGATTCTCTTGAACGACTTTTTTCTCGGCAACCTCGTACCGGTTATGGGGATCCAGTCTATGGCTGTTTCCTCGACCTCTATAGGCTTCTTCAGATAGGCACCCACGATTCTCGGGGCAGTGTCCTTCCGGTCTTTGGACGTCCCTATGGTCGACGTAATTTCCTTTTGGTTTATACTGTCCTCGCTGCTGTAATAAATATTTTCCATGCTTTTGGTACAGTCGAAATTAACATTTTTCGAGGTTAGGAAACGAGGCAATTTTTTATTCGACTCCTCTGCTCCTGACTTTTCTCGGGTCACCGCGGTGGAGGTCGAGGGTGCGTTGTCTGGACTTTCCATGGGGTTTTCGTAAGTCTTGTATTTCTCCTCGAAGGCTGCCACGATTTTTCGCACAAAATTTTTTGGTTTTCCTGAACTTTTTGCCTGCGACACGTAATTCGTTTCGAATTCTTTTATGATGTCCTCCAACACAGGCATTTCGGATGATTTACGAGACGGAGACGTTTTTTGGGATTTCTTCGGGGTCGTATTCCTGGTCACGCGTAACTTTATATTTTCGGTTAGCGTCGATAATCTTGATTTTTGGCAATTCATTAACGTGCTCGGTTTTGACTGTCCTTGTCTTTTTTGCCATTGGCCCGTTTTATTATTATTCTCCGGACTGATGGACCAGTCCTGATCTTGCTGTCTCCCATTATCGAAGAAGACACAATGCTTGTCGACCTGCACGAATGAATATAACAAAATATATAAAAGTATATAATGCTGCATGATAACAAAGAAATATTGTATTTCGCGGCAAAAAAATTAATTTAAAAAAAAATTTTCAAATTCTCACCTCTTCGTCGCTCTTACGAATCATGCGTTGAAGTAAATTATTCATTTTCACTTAAACAACAAATAATACGTTTACTTATCGCCGTTGTGTAATTAAGAATAATTTTTTTACTTAAAAATATACTCGATCGATATTACGAAATTTTGACAAATTTTCCAAAACACCTGCTAATCAGACGCTCAAATTCCACGTGTGGTGAACGATGCTGTCACGATCAGAATTGAAGAAAAATTTTCAAACCAGCACTATTTATACTAAATTTTTGAAACGGTCCCAGTCAAAACTTTCGACCAATAGAAAATTTGCATTTTCTTTAATTATTATTTCTTTCATTATATATCGTCTACCTGATTGGTCGAAGCTATACAAATCCAGGCCGTTTACCTGATCGCACCAAATTCTAACTGTTCACTTAAATCAGTTCTATAAGGTAGGTATACCGTCATTAACTTAAATTGTCACCCTTAGACACCAAAGGACTGCATCCCTAAAATTTTAAGGGGTTCATTGCTATTCCACGTTAATACTTGACTCAGCGTACGAGGGATGAATTCATTATTGCAGTATCAACCTGGAAAACGTCAATAAGCATCCACCAGTAAGTTGCACAGAGGTTTAATAATACAGATTCAAAATTTTTTTACGAAAATTACAAAATTTGTAGAGAAGAAACAGTGATATAGAAAAAAAAATCCCCAAAAAATCTCACTGAAAAAAAAAAATACCCTTCGATTTCAACCCCCTTTGAGCATTTATAAGGGGCAGAGTCAAATAATCTTTTTTTCATATATGTCACATACTATGTATGTTCCCCAACTAAGACGACCGCTCTAAAATAACTTTTATCCCCTAAAATATACCAAGTGATATATAATAATAATAACCCCATAATGATAAAATATCCAAAATAATCCATCCATATATATTTCCAAAATACCGTATCAATTTCAACCCCCCTCTTCCATATCCCACATTTCATCATACGGCGATCTCCTTTATTATTAAAATTCATTTACCTCAATGCCCCAAAAACGACGCAATCCTTCAAACGCGAGTTAGTAACTTATTACGATACGTCACGACCACGTAAAATCGAAGAATCAATCAATACCAATTGTACCAGTGAAAATTCAAGATTAATAGAATTCCCAATAACGGACATCGCTCGTAACGTTTACGGTCCAGTCTGGTCTGCCGGGATGCTGGAAGTGCTTGCCAAATGCTTGACCGGGATAGCAACAGGCGTCGGGACGCTGTAAACATTGAAATTCACCGAGCAACCCTGGCATCCTATCCTGACCGATTTATCTGATTGATTACCGATTGCATTGTAGGTACGTTGTTGGGTAGAGAGTACATTTTCTTTAGAGTTGGATTCCTAGGGCGTCGGGAAAAAATCTTATTTGTCCCACGAATTTTAATTTTCCTTATCATCCTTACTATTGTCTTGCCCGCTATAAGAGGGTACAGGTCGTTAAAAAATTTTTAACTGATTTTCACTTTGGATAATTTAACGTTGCTAATTATAAAAATAATTTTTTTTCTTATAAATATATTAACTTTTCACGATGACTGTATCGACTTTCTTTGAATATATATATTTTTCTTAGGCACAGCCTCTCATTTTATCTCTTATCAGATTATCAGCCTCCTGTAGAATATCAGAGCTGTTTGGGTTATCCGATAACCATACTATAACAGGATTACGTCATACCGTTGGATGCTGAATATTCCGGGAACATGAAAGTGACACCTTAATCCTGTAATATAGCCACTATCGCGTTATACGTAGATTATCGAAATACGAGTAAAGCGTATTTTTCGTATTGCAGCTAAAATAATTACTTTTAAATATTAGGGTTAACTGTAGTCTATCAAAAGATAATTAATTAATTTTTCATTCTAATCGAATAGTATTGTTATAAGGGTTCGTGAGAAACTTCTCAGTTACTAATCAAAATGCAATTAACCTGCCCTGTAATGAGGCTCGACACATCATGGTAATTTTATTACGTCTCCGATGCGAATGGCGGCGGTGGAAACAATTCTCATGCCTAGCCAACCTAACCTAACCCAACCCAATCCAACCTAGTCGGTCTAACGTATTCCGACATATATAGGACAGAACAGCAGCATGGAAATTTCACTACGTCACATTGCAAAATCCCATGTTATTGCGATTTCATCTCTATACTCCATTAACGAATGGTCCATTCGATAATGACTACGTTTATCCGGATGAAATAACACTTCTTCTTGACAGCTGTCACTTCCTTTGAGTTATCATGCTACGTACGTGACATATGCGACGTAAGGGGCTCTTGATAAGAATTATTAATGATAACAGGTTGACTTCAGATTCATTTTGAAAATCACTCAGGGCTGAGATTTTTTATCGCGATTCCGATGAATAAATTATATTTTTGAAGCGACTGTACTTCATTTGCTAAAGTTGATTCGAAATGCCTGGGGGAAAAAATGTATAGGGGCTGTTTTGATGTTGGTTAGGGGGATGAAAATTAATGCGTTTCTGATACGATCATGAGATTACGTAGCTCCTTATTTTTCTTATAATCGTTGTGTAGATATTCGAATCACTTTTTTTTCTCGATTGAATTTTTTTTTACCCTTACGGGTGTTTTCACCCTTACTGGTATTTTCACCCTTATTTTATTGGCACTTGATTTCGTCTTTATTTCTTCTTCTTTTTTTCGGTGTACACATTAAGCGCATTACGAATGAAAAGAGTCGATACGGCGACAAAAATATTTGTGGGGAGAGAGTAGAAGGGTGAAAGTGATATCGATTACTCGTGCAGATAATTTTTTTTCCAAAAATTTCATTTTCATCCCTCTCGTCGTTCAATTGAATTTAGTACTGCTATCTGTGCGGCTCGAATTTCTTTTTTTTTTTCATTTCGTCATCCATTCCTTTTACGAGGGGATGAATTTCATTGTCAGATTCGTACAACGTGGCCAGGCACGCGATTAACTGTTTTCATGATACCTTCTTGGAAAACGGCCTTGCGGTATGTATATGTATATCGCAGAGAAAAAGCTCTACGGTCAAGGGTCATCAATTGGCGAAAGCCTAATTGGAAATACCATTGTTCGCCACTAATCCACCCTATACCTTATGCTCACCCTTATAAGCCAATAGGAATAATACGATAGGGCGAACCAAAAACACATCCCCTTTAATACGGATACGTAGATGTTCTCACTCAATGGCTTCAATTTGTTCATGATGACTAGGAATGACAATGATAGATTGAGGGAAGATGCTGAAAAAGAGAAGAATCGACGATAGCCTTATGGCAAAGAAAAAACAATCTTTTGGGTAAAATTAATTATTTGTAATTTTTTTTTGAAAATATTTTTTTCGAAAATATTTATTTTTCGGTCCATTTTTTATCGGAGACTGTACCAGACTGTGGTTCCTACGAGGCATAACACTGATTGACTTTCGTGTCGAATTTTGAATATCGAAAAACGGATAAATTTGGAAAAATCAAACTTTACGAAATACCCACGTCATTCGCGTTTCACGTATTATTGTCATTCAAAATTACCGGTTCTCTGTAATAATATTCAAAATCCAAAAACCTCTTGGCGGTAAAGCAAACGTATTAAACGAGACACCCCAATAAAATTACCCTTTCGCTACCCATTGTTATTCTTTGCAGTACGGACTGACCCAAAATTATTTCCCAAACAATAAGACGATCGACAGTAAATTTTTGGAAGAAGAAATCAAAAGCCCTCCCACTGGCAAGAAAACGGAATATTGAAAAACCGCAAAATAATTCCACGCAAAATCCTAAAAGTTTGAATTTTTCAAAATTAATCTCAACTATCAACAAATCCAAAAATGTCTTTTCACCTTTAATTCGTTTATTTTTCTTGAGCGTCGCTCACTTTCATTTTTTCTTCATTCCCATCCGTCTCTCTTTCTCCCTTTGCTCTCCTATCCCTTTCCCATTCCCATTACGGTGGCGTAACGTGACGCCATTTCGTGAAATGATTCCAGTGGAGTATTCAGGAAATTACAAAAGCTCCCAGAGTAAAGGGTAATACGGGGTACGTAGGTACTTTTCTCAATGGGGAATCAGAAAACAAGCTTATGGGGTTGAAGTAGTTCGACAATCCATTCCCAAATTTCCACATCCTCTTTGATATCCTAACGCGTCTTTTTTTCTTCCTTTCATATGCATCCAACATATTAAACAGATAGAGTCCATTCATTCAACAAATTTGGATTGATTTTCGTGACGCATATATATACATATATATTGTACGCTGTAGACTATTAAGACTGACTGGTGCAAAGGTCAGTCATCCTGGCGCCTTTTTCATTGATTCCAGAGATACCCCCAAGGATCCCCAAGACGCCTACGCTTTCCATGCGTCACTATCCTTTTGCGATTATATTTCGTTTGATACTGTTCATTGTGTTGCAAGACTTGCTAATTTTAGCTCATTCATTATATATATATATATACTGTATTATAGTATATATAGTATATACTTACTATGCTCTTTGACCCTTTCGAAATAGACATACTATGAATTTCAAGGATATCATCGTTGAAATATAACAATCGCGTGATGCACGATTTAGAGAAATATTTTTTACTGCACAATTTTTTATCGACTAACACGCAATTCTAGAAAGGGGATTAAAGCTGTAGTTTTATAAGATAAAAAAAATTGTCAATCACATATTTGTTAAACACGCAAAAGACAGTTTCTGCGAATAAATAAAGACTGAGCTGGATTGTATAAAAATAAAAATAAATTAAAAAAAAATTATTTCCTACATTCAAATACGAGATTTTGTTTTGTTTATTTCTTTTATTTATCGTAGGGATTAATTGAGGTATTGACTTATTGGATTACATTATGTGCATGTATATTACGTGATACGTGTCGTTGGAAATTATTAATTTAAGGGATGGGAAGAATTTTTGGAAAAAAGAAAAAAAATTTTTGAATGAACGAGTACGAAATTTAGGTATCGTACCAAGTATGGGGTGATTGTGAAAT